CCGGCGCGCCGGACCTGTGTGGGATTCCACCGGTGGTTGGGGGGGGAAGAGGGGGATTCGGGGTTCCCGACCAGCTTGAAGCTCTCGAGCTCGGTCAAATCGACGTCGTTTCGACTGACATTCGGACGGGCGAACTTCCCTCGTCGACGCCTCCACGGAGCCAACGATCTCGCCAAAACCACGCAAATATGCTCACATCGAGATTTGGATTCCACCCGGAGCCTGGACCCGTCGAGCACGAGCCATCCGCCGCCGCCAACTTCGCGCGTCGCGACGGCGAAGCCGAGCGCCGCGGTGCCGGCGCCGCCGCGCGCGCGCCGCGCGTCGACCTCGGCGCGCCGCGCGAGCCGCGCGCACGGCAGCGACGCCGCGATGGAGTAGCTGCGAGGCGCGCGGGGGTCCGGGCGCGCGAGCGCGCCCCGGGCGACGGCCGCGCGCCCGAACGCGCGCGACGGCGCGTCCGCGCCGCGCAGGACACCGTTCGTAGGAGCACGACGAGGCGCCGCCAGAGCGCCCGCACGCTCGCGAGTGCTTCGGCCTCGCCGCCGCCGCCCCCGCCGCCGCCACGCGCGGCCGCGTAGCGCAGCTCCCACCGTTCCAGGAGCGCCGCGGGGCCGCCACTCGGCGAGCGCGTGACGACGAGGAGCACGAGCGGCAGGCCCGGGTCGCGCCGCCAGTACTCGATGAGGCCGCGCACGACCTGCGCGCGCGGCTGGTCGGCGCGCGCGGCCTGCGCGCGCGGCGCGGCGCCCCGGCGCGACCGCGGCGCCGCGCGACACATCGACCTCGTCCACCTCGACATTGAACCGCGTCCGCCCAGGGCTGCGGGACAGGTCAAAGGGATGCATGATGCGATTGAGGAGGACGATCTCCACCGCCTATTTTTTTGGAGAGAGAGGCCTTTGATTTAGCAGAATCTGAGGAAAACTCGCCTTGGCCATGGCCTCGACCATGACTTCCACTGCCTTTGCTGCGGCCATCCCTGACGAGGTTCGTTAAAGCTAAAGCGGCGGAATCGGTGACCGAGCGCGAATCTAAACCAGTCGTTTAGTACTCACAGCGTGGGTCACTACTGCCCCGAACGCCAACCCCCCCCCCTTTTTTTTTTTGCGACACCGATTCGCGCGTCCGCGGGCGAAGCACAAAAACTCTTACAAAAACGCCGCGGAGGATCTGCGA